ACGGGGCTCGAACTCACAGACCGCGAGATCCTGACCTGGCTGAAGTCGGACGCTTAACCGACTGCGCCACCCAGGCGCCCCAGAAAACGCAGAATTTTTAAAACGCAAAGTCACACTCATACCTGGGGAGATAATGTCTCTTTAAGTTGTGGTGAGCTGACTCGGGAGCTCTGTCTCACCTCTCAGGTTGGAGCTGTGAACAGGTTGGCCTGGGGGAAACCTTGTCCCGGTTTCTTGCAGTGTTCTCCCAGAAGGATTGTTTGATCTTTTCCAGAGAGCCCCTAGGTTACAGGGGGCTGGGGGCCCTCAGGGTGAGCAGCCCAGCAGGTGATTAGAGTTGGAAGGTACAGAAGGAGATCCCTGCTTCCCTTCTGGCTCTGTCCCCACCAGGCTGTGTGACCTCTGACAGACAACCAGCCTCTCCAGGACCCGCACCCACATGAAGAATGTGGCGGGGGTGGTTCTCAGCTACATTAGGAGCCCGGGAGAATGAACCAGGCTAGACCAATGGAATAGGATGGAGACCCCAGAATTGGACTCACAAACGTATGGCCAACTAATCTTTGACAAAGCAGGAAAGAGTATCCAATGGAAAAAAGACAGTCTCTTTAACAAATGGGGCTGGGAGAACTGGACAGCAACATGCAGAAGGTTGAAACTAGACCACTTTCTCACACCATTCACAAAAATAAACTCAAAATGGATGAAGGACCTGAATGTGAGACAGGAAGCCATCGAAGCCCTAGAGGAGAAAGCAGGAAAAAAACCTCTGACCTCAGCTGCAGCAATTTCTTACTTGACATATCTCCAAAGGCAAGGGAATTAAAAGCAAAAATGAACTATTGGGACCTCATGAAGATAAAAAGCTTCTGCGCTGCAAAAAAAACAGTCAACAAAACTAACAGGCAACCAACGGAATGGGAAAAGATATTTGCAAATGACATATCAGACAAAGGGCTAGTATCCAAAATCTATAAAGAACTCACCAAATTCCACATTCAAAAAACCCAAATAATCCAGTGAAGAAGTGGGCATAAGACACAAATAGACACTTCTCTAAAGAAGACATCCAGATGGCCAACAGACACATGAAAAGATGCTCAATGTCACTCCTCATCAGGGAAATACAAATCAAAACCACACTGAGATACCACCTCACGCCGGTCAGAGTGGCAAAAATGAACAAATCAGGAGACTATAGATGCTGGCGAGGATGTGGAGAAACGGGAACCCTCCTGCACTGTTGGTGGGAATGCAAACTGGTACAGCCGCTCTGGAAAACAGTGTGGAGGTTCCTCAAAAAATTAAAAATAGACCTACCCTATGACCCAGCACTAACACTGCTAGGAATTTACCCAAGGGATACAGGAGTGCTGATGCATAGGGGCACTTGTACCCCAATGTTTATAGCAGCGCTCTCAACAATAGCCAAATTACGGAAAGAGCCTAAATGTCCATCAGCTGACAAATGGTTAAAGAAGATGTGGTTTATATATACAATGGAATACTACGTGGCAATGAGAAAGAATGAAATCTGGCCATTTGCAGCTACGTGGATGGAACTGGAGGGTATTACGCTAAGTGAAATGTCAGGCAGAGAAAGCAGATACCATATGTTTTCATTCATATGTGGATCTTGAGAAACTTAACAGAAGACCATGGGGGAGGGAGGGGGGAAAAAAGTTACAGAGAGGGAGGGTGGCAAACCATAAGAGACTCTTAAATACTGAGAACAAACTGAGGGTTGATGGGAGGTGGGGGAGAGGGGAAAGCGGGTGATGGGCATTGAGGAGGGCACCTGCTGGGATGAGCACTGGGTGTCGTGTGGAAACCAATCTGACAAACCAATTAAATTATATTTAATATAAAAAAGGAGAAGTTTTGCACTCAGGGTCACACTTGCATGCCCGTGATGGCCCTCCCACCTCCTCCAGCTCCCTCCCCATTTTCCCTCCCACAGGTAATCCTGTCTCATAGGACCCAGACTAACACACTCATTATGTAAAATACAAATAATAAATGAGACCCAGCTTTCTGTCTGTTGCTACCTCATCAGAGATACAGACCGCACAGATGGTTATGAAACTGGCAGGACACATTTGGGACCGTCTGGCTTAAAATACAGGCTAAGTGACCCCCGCAAAATTTATTTTGCAGGTCCGGGGGTCCCTCAAACAGTCGGGCCCTTATCCTTCAGGGAACTGAAGGCAAGACACAGCGGCAGACCCGCGGGACGAGTGTTAAGAGAAGAGACAGAGATGTGCCTCCGAGCGAGCGAGTGAGCGAGCGGGTGGAGGCCTGAGCTGCCCGTACTGGCACTCCCAAGGGAGGAGCGGCCCCCCGTGGTGGATTCACAGTGGTCGCTGGTTGTCCCAAGGAATTCCAGGCAGCCCAGCTGGCACGTGTCCGTGTGGGCCCTGCAACAAGTCTGGAAGGACACGCGCCGACGCAGGGACAAGGAGTCTCTCTGGGGGTTGCCGTGATGGGGACACATTCATGTTCCGTAATTTTAAATGCTTAAGAACGCTGTGATTAATCAGGAAAAAATGGAGTTTTTTCTCGAAGTTATTAGAGACTATGGAAATAAGGGTGGTGGGGTGCCTGGGTGGCTCAGTCAGTTAAATGGCTGACTTTAGCTCAGGTCACGATCTCATGGTGCATGAGTTCGAGCCCTGCATCGGGCTCTGCACTGAGTGTGGAGCTTGCTGGGGATTCTCTTTCTTCCTCCCTCTCTCTGTCCCTTCCCCACTTGCGCTGTCCCTCTCTCTCAAAATACATAAATAAACTTAAAAAAAAGAAAAAGAAACAAGGGTGGTGAGTGTGGCTACAGTACTTGGGGTGAGAGAGCCATGGAGACGGGAGGGTTAGGCTGGGTCTCTGAGGAAGGATACAGGACACTAACCTCACGTGCCCTACGGGGTTGGCGTAAAGTTGCATTCATGACCATGAGGACCCTGGGTCTGAGGAAAGGACAACAAAGCTGATGTATGAACTTGACTAAGGCCATCACTTGGAGCCCAGGGGGAACCACTGGTCCAGGCTGGACAGAGCAGGGCACAGTGGGATCAGGACCAACCAGTCCCTAAGGTTTTTCTTTATCTCAGAAGTCACCCTGGGCTGAGTGAGGAAGCCAGAGAGACGAAGATTGAGGAGAAGCCTAAGTAGCTGGGGTCTGGCCACCTCACCCACCCTGGCCCAGGCTCCAGGCCCAAGGACCACTGATCTGGGACCCCAGGAACAGACCCATGGGCTCCTCTGACAGCCTCGCTCCTCCCCCCAAGCTGGGCTGCCAATGTCAGAAGTGGGGGTCAGTAGGACAGCTACAGGGTGGACAGCAGGCAAGGAGAAGGGAAAGATAGAAAGAAGAGGCAGCAACAGTGAGAGACAGAGACAGAAAGACCCCCAGAAAGACACAGAGGGACACAAAGAGTCACACGCACACACACACACACACACACACACACACACACACACTATGGTAGAATCAGAGAGAGACAGAGACAGAATGAGAGACAGAGAAAGAAAGGGAGAGAGACAGAGATTAGGGCAGGACCCACATTCTACTCATTGGCTTCCTAGGAGCAAACAGGGAGGCAGGTGCAGGCCAAGTGGCCGGCAGAGAGGACAGAGCCTGAGATGAAATGAGGGCTTCTGGGCATCACTATCCCAGAGAACAAACACTTGCTGTCACTGACTATGCACGCAGCACCGTGCTAGACACTGCAGAGAACCAGCTGTAGTCCAGATCCCTGCCCTGATTGGGAGATCCACACCCCACCCCTGAGGAAGATCAATAACAGGCTGAGGCAGCTGTTCAGGGGCCAGAGGGGAGGTAGAGGTTCCCACAGGGCTGAGGTCACCAGGGCTGGGGCTTGGTGACCGGGCTGCGTTTGAGCTGCCTCTTGAAGAGCAGGTGGGAGGAAGGGGCAAGGGTCTCAGGTGGGGAGGATGTGGAGTAGGAAGGCACGTCTGGGTACAATTAGGAGGGCCTTGAATGCCAAGCTAAGGAAGCTGAGGGAGCCCTTGGTCACACTTGAGCAGGTGAGTGATGTAGGAGAGCTGTGCTTTAGAGATACCTGGGCCGGTCGGGTGCCAGACCTGGGGACAGTGGAATAAAATGGAAAAGAAGGTGGCAGGCATCCACTGACTCCTCCAGTCCCCTCTCACGACACCTCCTGTCTGATGCTACAGTCCAGCAACCCCACACTACTGGCCCACACCAGGCTGCTTCTCACCTCCATGCCTTTGCCCATACGGGACCCTCTGCCAGGAAGGCCTTCCCCTTCCAGAAGCCCTAACCCAGCAAACGTTAAAACACAGTTTGCGCTCTTCTCAAGGGTCTTCTCTTCCAGGCAGTCTTCAGGCAGGGTGAGGTGCCCCCTGGCTCCTCCCAGCGTGAAAGCCAACATGAAATCTACCTGGACTCAGCGGAGCCCAATCGTGTTTTTGACTAAGTCCGGAAAATATAATTGGCCTCATTGGCACTGTTGCCTTACCACGCCCAGAATTTGCCTGTCCCCCACACAAAGCCCCACCAGCTGTCAGGCTTAGTATCCAAACCCTGAAGAGAGGAAGGAATGGGCTGGGGAGGGTGGAGTGACATTTGCCTAAGGGTGCTTTGAGCTGGCATTGACTTCCCTCCAGAGAGGAGGGGAGTGGCACCGGGGCACAGCCGGGGCTGGAGCTGGGGCGGGGGGGGGGGGGGGGGGGGGGGGGGGGGGGGGGGGCACTTTGCGGAGAGAGCCTGCGACTGCCTCACATCTTTGGCGTCTTTGGAGGGACACCAGAGGCTGGGCTGGGGGCTGAACGTCACCCCCTCCTTGTCCCCTCAGGCCTTTGGAAGAGAAGACCCTCCTCTGCACCCCAGGCTTGCCCCTAGAGTGGCCTGGGTTTGGCCAGGAAGGTGGCCGAAGCCTCGCTGCTACCCCCCGACCCGCGGCTGCCCACCGCCCCCGGGCCAGAGCCATGGAAAAGTTCCGTGTGCTTTTCCAGCACTTCCAGTCCAGCTCGGAGTCAGTGATGAATGGCATCTGCCTGCTGCTGGCCGCGGTCACCGTCAAGCTGTACTCCTCCTTCGACTTCAATTGCCCCTGCCTGGCGCGCTACAATGCCCTCTATGGCCTGGGCCTGCTGCTGACACCCCCACTTGCCCTTTTCCTCTGTGGCCTCCTTGCCAACCGGCAGTCCGTGGTGATGGTTGAGGAGTGGCGCCGGCCCGTGGGGCACCGGAGGAAGGACCCTGGCATCATCAGGTACGGTCCCACGCCACCCAGCTACCCCTGGGCATGGTCAGGGGTCTCCCCCCTCAGACACTGCCGGTGACTCCCCAAGCCCGATGATCCTCCTGGCTCCCCCACCCACCCCCAAGCAGGGAAACATCAACCCACAGAGACTCACTAGCCAGTTTCCGGTGTGGAAACGGATGTTTCTGTTCCTGTCATTTGTCGCCCTTCTACGGCCAGTGCAGGATTCCTAAGAATTGCCCGGGTCACGTCTGTTCTCTGGCCACGAGTTACAACTCCGCACATACGTGAAGGGCCATCTCGTGACACGCACAGCCAGTGCTCACATGTGGTAGGAGGCGTGACCGGCTGCAAGGCTGCATTCCGTCTCCTGTAAGTCCTCGGGGGGCAAGGACCTCACCTGTTATACTGCGGTGTCCTCAAAGCCTCGCACCTGCTTGGTGCCGTATATCAAAACCCGTCGATGGAAGTCCGTAACAAGTCCTCAGTTCCACCTTCTGACCACACCGCCCCCAGAAAACGCCAGAGCCACCCTTATCTACGATGCATTTATAATTCCCTGCTGGGTAGGCCATGCCCACATATACACAGCCCAGCATATGTCATTTCATGCTTTGTATACAGTCCAAGTCAGAGACAGCACCTGCCTGCTGTGCACAGGGGCCCCTGCTTCGGGGTGCCTGGGGATCCGTGCTCCCAGTGATTCTGCCACGCGGGGAGGGTCATACGCATAGCTGTGCCCTTTGCCTTTTCCTCCAGGACCCAGTGAATACAGCTCCACTGGGCTCTTGTCCCGTGACCCACACGCAACCTCCCGAAGGGCAGAAGGGCAGAAGAGACCCTTTGGGGACAGAGAGAGGGTGGGCTTCTGGACCTGGAGGGAGGTGTGCGAGGCGCTGCCTCTGGAAGCGTTATTGGGTAGGGCTGTCCTACTTTAGGCTCCCCCACAAAAGCAGCTCTGGGGAGAGTGTGGTACTGAGTGGGCAACTGGGGTCATTCCTTCTGGGGACCTTCTGAGAACGCGGATTGTCCCGCTAAGAGTCTAGGGTCTTACCCACCAGGCCTGTCCCTGTGGCTTGAAGGTTGGTTGGGGTTGTTAACTCTCCTGGCTTTCAGCTTTCCGCTCTGGGAGCAGAGACTCCTCCGAAGCCCTTGGGCAGAGCCTGGCAGGTAGTCGAGATCAGACACCAGAGGAAAGGAACTACTCACTAAAGATGTTAGTGCCTCCGGCGAGGGCAGGGCACCAACAGAGCCTGCTACAAGGCCTAGAGTAGGAGGCAGGTCGGGACTTTCCTGACCTCCCGGGGCCCCGGCCCTCCTTCCTCCCCACCCTCTTCTGCTGGGACCTCTGCAGGGGGAGCTGCAGCCATTTCTTTGATGTAACCTCAGCAGGCATTTCCCAGCCCTCCTGGGAAGTCCATCCTGGCATCTCTCCTGTAACCTTCCTGCTGCAGCTGAGTTCCAGCTGCCTCTGCGACCCCTCCCTTCCTCTGTCCCTAGGTATATGTGCTCCTCTGTCCCTAGGTATATGTGCTCCTCTGTGCTGCAGCGAGCGCTGGCTGCCCCCCTTGTCTGGATCCTCCTGGCCCTCCTCGACGGGAAGTGCTTCGTGTGTGCCTTCAGCAGCTCCGTGGACCCCGAAAAGTTTCTGGACTTTGCCAACATGACCCCCAGCCAGGTGCAGCTTTTCCTGGCCAAGGTGCCCTGCAAGGAGGATGAGCTGGTCAGGGACAGCCCCGCGAGAAAGGCAGTGTCTCGCTACCTACGATGCCTGTCACAGGTAATTCGGGTGGTTCTCTCCCAGCCCCAGAAAATATCCCGCATTGGTTCGGAGGGCTGTGGGGTGAGGAGGTACAAATGGTTTCCTGTGGCCCCTCCCCACTGCTAGAAACACAACTAAGGAGCAGGTGGTCCCCAGAAGGATTAGGAGCGTGATCCACATACAGGACACTGTTGGGCCTTAAGAAGTGGGCACTTTGCCTTCAATGCCAACTCACCCCAGGGCAGACACCAGGTTCCCGTACCCTCCAGGAGTCAGCTAGTTCCATCCCCAGGAGTCTAGATGACAGGAAAGCACTGGAGATACACTGCTCCGCCCTGCCCCACCCCCACCCCATACACACGTTCTTCCCACCCCTCAGAAATAATACTAATCACCATTTATTGAGCACTTATGTGTCGGGCACCGTGTTAAGTATGTCATGTGCATTAGTTCACTTAATTCTCAGAACAACCCTATGAGGCGGGTGCAATCCTTATCAACCCGTTTCACAGATGAGGAAACTAAGCTTCTGGGAGTTTAGTTCACAGGTCCAAGCCGCACGGCTCCTAAGAGGCAGGGCAGGGATCTGAAGTGTCGTCACACCTCTGAACCACCTCCCTGCAATGCAGGCCCTCCCCCAGATGCCTGGTTCCCCACACGGGCACCCACTCCTTCACCCTGGAGGCAGACCCCAGTCCCACCCCTAGCCCAGACTCCAGATTCCACCACCACCTCTCCCAGAGCCCCAGTTGGGCTGTGTTCCCCCCAAAAGCATTTACATGAACCCACGACATACAACGCATCACTGGGGCTACAGGGAATAAAAACACAAACAAGCCCTTTGTGAGAACCAAGGCGGACTCATGGCAAATGCAGGTCAATGCATGATGGAGAGGGGACCAGTACTCAGGACACATTTGATCCAGGGTCACACTCTACCTTGGCCACATTACTCCCCCTCTGGGTCTCCGTCTCTCCTATAGTTGATTCAGTCCCCTCCACTTGGATGGGCCCTGCAGGCTTAAATTCTCTGGGCTCTCGCTAGTTCACAGGAAAGAGTGTAGAACTTGCAATCAGACCAGGGTTTGAGTCCTGACTCAGATGTACGCTATCAGGCACATTAAATGTTCCTTGTGTGTAAAATACTCACACGACTATTTTACACTGGTAGGTGGACGGGAGGATCCTGAGAGAGGCCAAATAAGAGAGCTGTGTAAACCACATCCACAAATGATAAGGATTCAAATATGTCTTTGTGGCTTAGAGGAGTGATTTCTCTGCCTGTCCCAGGAGCACACAGTTTCTCTGTGTGTCTTAAGTGAGGCCTTGGAGAGACTAAAGCTTTCGGCGGGCAGAGAGGAGGGAGAGGTGCCAGGCCAGGGTAGGATCCAGACTCAAGGAACTCTTCAAATTTTCCTCACACTTGTCCTAGAACAGTCCTCCCTGTTCATATCCTATATAAATTTACTCATCCTTCACATCTCAGCCTCAATCTCACTATTCCCTAAGCCCTCAAGTTCAGGTTGGGTTTCCCTCCTCTGTATTCCCATGACCCCCTATACATCCCAGAACATGGCATTCAGCCAATCTATCACCAATTTCATTGTTTCCTCCACAAGTGTGCATTCTATGAGAGCAAAGACTGGGTCCCCAGTGCCTCTCCCAAAATATAGGATGGGTGGCTGCATAGATGTGATGGATAAGCATGTGTGAGGACTGATGAAGGACTGGATCAAAAAACAAAAGGATGATGGATGGATGGATGGATGGATGGATGGGTAGGTGGGTGGATGGATGGATGGATGAATGGATGGATGGTGGGTAGATGGATGGATGGTGGGTGGGTGGGTAGATGGATGGGTGGTGGGTGGATGGATGGATTGGTGGGAATGTAAGGGAGGCAAAATTTTGCCTCCACCCATCTTAGGTTTTCAACTGACACTCTATCAAAAGACAAATTAACAGAAGGAAAACACAATTTATTAATCTGTGCAGTGCACATCACGTGGAAGAAACCTAAAACAAAGAAAGAGTAACTCAAAGTGGTGGCTTAGAACTTCAACTTATCTAGCATCTTCAACAAAGAGCAATACCTTTGTAGAGCAATGGCAGGACAAAGGAGAGCCACGTTAGTCTCCAAGGGCAGAAACTGTGGGAAAGTAAACACATGAGAGGAAACTAGTGGAGTAAGGTTTGTTGGCAGATTCCTCTGGTGCTGTCTCCGGGCTGATAAGAGTTGTCTCCCAGTAAAAGGAGAATGTATTTCCTGCCTTTAGGCAGAAAAGAGAAGGGTCGAGAGAGCTGTTCCTATGTTGCTGCTTCTTAATTGCCTTCGTTCAAGATACTTTTTGTGTCAAAGAGGCATATGTTGGGGTGACATATTCTGGTTTCCTTCCAGAGGAACGTTTGGAGGATGAACGGTGGGAGGGTGGATAGACAAACGGAAGAAAGGATGAGCGTACGGGAACATGAACGGATGGGCAGGAGAACGTATGATGCACAGATGGAAGGACAGTCGCAAGGATGGCTGGATGGGAAGCTGACAGGTACATAGCCAAGTAAGAGATCGATGACTGGATGGATGGGTGGAGAAATAGTTGGACAGACGGATGGATGCAAGAATGAGATCGAATGGAAGCGAGGACGGGTGGAGGTGGTTGGAAGGACGGATGACTAAATGGGAACACGAACAGATTTGGGGAGAGATGGGGGGTAAGTAAAGGGAGAGACTTTGGAACACCCTTGCCACACTGTATAGCACCTGGCCTCTCTTCGCCCAACCTGGTGCCCCTCCCCTCACCCCTCCCCTCCAGGCCATCGGCTGGAGTATCACCCTGCTACTGATCATCCTGGCTTTCCTGGGCCGCTGCCTGAGGCCCTGCTTCGACCAGACGGTCTTCCTGCAGCGCAGATACTGGAGCAACTACGTGGACCTGGAGCAGAAGCTCTTCGACGAGACGTGCTGTGAGCATGCGCGGGACTTCGCGCACCGCTGCGTGCTGCACTTCTTTGCCAACATGCAGAGCGAGATGCGGGCACGGGGGCTGCGCCGGGACACCGCGGACAGGGACCCCGAGCCCCCCGTGACGCCTGGGCCCCAAGATGGCCTGGACGGCGGCGGAAGCGGGAAGGCCCACCTGCGTGCCGTTTGCAGCCGGGAGCAGGTGGACCGCCTCCTGAGCACCTGGTACTCCAGCAAACCGCCACTCGACCTCCTGGCATCCCCTGGGATCTGGGGGGGAAGGGGAGGGCTCAACCACCGCGCCCTCACGGTGGCCCCAGGCACCGGGCTGTCCCAGCACACCGACGTGTAGGAACCCCAGCAGTGTCCCCTCGTGGAGTGCCCGCACTGAAAACGGTCTGGGGGATTTCCAGGCGGTGCTGACCCCAAGGCAGGGCAACCTAACCCTTGCTGGCCTCCTTCCCCCAAACAGCCCAATCTCTGGCCTAGTTTCAGGGTGTGGCCTCCCGTGTGCTCGAAAGCAGGGCTTCATAAACTTCAGTGAGCTCACTGTTCACCTGGGCTCTTGTTAAATGCAGATTCTGATTCAGTGCATCCAGAGCTGGGTCTGAAATTGCATTTCTATCTTGCTCCCAGGCCACACTGACACGTGTGAACTAGCGAGAGCCTAATAGAGCTAAGTAGCAAGAGTCTAAATAGATCCGCCATGAATTCTGGGTCCTAGATGTCCAGATTCTAAATTTAAAAGTAATAATAACATTGGGGCGCCTGGGTGGCTCAGTCAGTTAAGCGTCCGACTTTAGCTCAGGTCATGATCTCATGGTTAGTGAGTTCGAGCCCTGCATCAGACCCTGCTTCAGATTCTGTGTCTCCCTCTCTCTCTGCCCCTCCCCTGCTTGTTCTCTCTCTCTCTCTCTCTCTCTCTCTCTCTCTCAAAAATGAATAAACATTAAAAGATAATAATAATAATATAATAACATCTAACATGCTTAAATGGTACTACATGGCAGGCGTTGTTCTTACATATACAGCTCATTTAATACTTATGATAACCTAATGAAGTAGGAAGATTATTAGCCCCATTTTAGAGGAGCAAACTGAGGCCTAAAGAGGTTGAGTTGCCTGGGGCCATCCATGTAGGGGCTGGAATTTTATCCCAGAAGTCTGGCTACTACATAGAGTCTAAGCTGCTGTATTCCTCGACCCTCTAAATAGTTTGTGTGTTTGTTTTCAGCGCTCTGGCTGGGTTTCCTGCAGCTTCCACCAAGTTTGTCTGAGTAAGCACTAGCAAGCTCCAGATGTGTGGTATACGGACCAGATCTGAAAATCAGGGCGGGGGTGGACCCAGACACCCCCACGCTGAACATGCACCCCAGGTGATTCGATTAAGTTGCAATGTTTAAGAACTTCTGCCCTAAGTTTGAGTATGGAGTCTGGCTGGGAAGGAAAACCCTTGAAACACCAGGGTTAAATCTTGCTAGAAGAAGTGCCACTCAGTCTCTGGCGGCCCAAACAGGAAAGATTGGGGAAGATCTAGCCTGTGAGCTCCTCTGGGCTTCTGCCCCTCCCTGATGACTCATTCATTGCACACACACACACACACACACACACACTCACACACAAGCACACGCACGCACTCACTCATTCACACATACATACACATCCTGCTAATGCCTCCATCAGCACAGATGGTGACCACAGACATGCAAACCTGGGTTCACCCCATGCTTTTCTGGTCTCAGGGCCTGGGGGGTCATGCAGGGGCCCCTGGATGTGCCCTGGAGCCCAGCCCCCTCCGTATCAGGCAATCTCTGTTTTCCTGGGCTCTTGCCAAGAGACTCGTATGACCAGACAATCCCTGCAGCTCAGCCTTCCCCCATCTACCATGCTGTGGTCAGGCCATGCAAATGTTTGAAATGGAGCATGATTCAGCAAAAGTGTTAGCGGGGATTGGGTGGGGAGGAAAGGTGGGAGATCTTAGAGATGGCCCAGTCAGTACAGTGAGCTCTCAGCTCAGGTAAGCGGGCTCAGGGACCCCACTTTGGGCTGCAAGGAAGCAGCATTTGGCACAGTGAAAAGCCACCGACTGTAATCAATACCCCTGCCTTCTTACACTATGCACTTACAGAACACCTACTGCCTAGATAGCATTGTGTCAGGGAATAGGGAAGAGAAAATACACAGATGATATGCCCTGCCCTCAAGGAGCTCACTGTCTACTAGGGGGACAGAAACGGGTACAGAAATAATTATAATCCAAAGCAAAAGACGTAAGTGATATGACAGAGGCAAGCCATGTGCCACAGAGATTTAGCATGGAGAAGAATGGCTCCAAGCTGGGGGATCAGGGAAGGCTTCATTTGAATGGGTCTGGAAGGAGAGGGAGGGTTGTGACAAGTGGAGCCAGAGATGGGAGTGGGGCCGCAGAGCACCTACAGGGAGGAAACAGCAAGAACAAAGGCAAAGAACTGGGAAAGGGGCAGCATATGTTTCATTTATTCATTCAACAAACATTGATGGAATACCTAGAGTGCCAGAGAGCAGGACGCACGGAGAGGCAGGGTTCTATCTTAATGGCGCTTCCAGTCTGGAAAGGAGCTATGACACAAGCTAGGGAGCAAACAAGCAAATGGAGCAGTGTGCAGTCCAAGCTGGCAAAAATGAAGGACTGGGCGGGGGGGCTGAGGAGCCCGCTTCCAGTGAGCCCCACCAAGAGTTGCTCCCTGAGCCCTGCATCCAGTGACAGAGTCTCTGGATCAGCGCTGGACAGTCCTCAAATGTGTCCCTGCCCTCTGAGGCCCCCAAATGCTGTGCTTTCCAGCCCAAACCTCTTTGCCATTGTCCGTCCACCATTTGCTCACATCCCCTGAGAGGGAGATGCCTGGAGCAGTGTGTGCCACCCCACCAGGGAGTGAAGGACACGGCTGGAAGCCTCCCGCCTGCTCCTAAAGACCCTCGCCTCCCAGGACAGCAGCCGTCATGGGCGCCCAAGCTCGTTCCCCAAGCCCCAGCCAACTCTTGGTGATAGCCCTCCTGACCACACCCTATACATAGGGCCTCTCTTCTGGGAGACACGTGGCCAGCGGGGCAAGGCAGAAATGTACTAGAAGCGTGAGCTGGGCCTGGACAGCTGCAGTTCTGTGCGAGAAGGGGAAGACGGCAGGAGGTTTAGGCCAGGACTTTGGCTTGACCCTGCAGGTAACTGGACATGAAAGGCAAGTGTGTACAAAAGCAAGGTCAGGAGGAAGGACATGGCAGTGATGTTTGAAGCTGCAGGAATGGGGAGGCCCAGCAAGAGAGAGGCTTAAGTGAGAAGAGGAAAGACCAAGACCTGTAGAGCTTTGGAGGAGAAAGAGGAACAATCACGGGCAAAGAGTCCAGAAGGATGCCAGGGAGGCATGAATTCCAAGACGGGGGGAGGAGAAGCAATAAATTCTGAGCTTCAGAGAGACCCAGGAGTGGGAGGACTGAGGGAAAATCATTGGGTCTTGGTAACTGTTCAGGACAGAAGGCTTCTCACCCAGGGAGGTGTCCTGGTGAAGAGATGGGTGGGTTTCTGTAAGATTCCTGTAAATCCCTGGGCATGTGCCCCCCACGCCCCTGGGGTTATAAAGAACAGGTGGGAGGTTTGGGGCCTGCCTGTTTTAGGATACTGATACAGGAGGGACCTTCAGCACCCATGTATAGGGCAAGGCACCAGGACCCCAAAGTACAAGGAGAATAAAGCATGTCCACACTAACATGCTGCCACTTTCCAGGGTCTCACAGAAGGTAAGGGAGTTTTCTGTTGAGAGGCCAGCTCTGCCCAGGCCTTTGAGGCCAAATGAAATGACTGCCCCTTGCCTCTGCTTGATCTGCTCTGCAGGAGAAGGACAGAGAGGGCTGTAGGGTGGGGACAGTGTCCCTAAGGATCTAGAGAAAAGCAATGGGAGATGGTCCAAAACGGCAGAAGGTAGCAGAGCGGAAGTGACGCTGGTTTTTACCATGGTAGTGAGTTTTGAATGGGCCCAGCCCCTCCTGCCCACCGCTCCCACCCAGCCAGCCACCCTTCACATAAAGGAGGAACTTCTCTTTAGCCCTCCCCACTCTGCTCACAGAACCCAACCCTGGCAGCAAGCCCAGAGCCAGAGTGGCAGGACTGTCTCCTATTTGGGTCTGAATTCCTGCCTCCTCTCAAAGTTACCTGGGTCCAGGGCTCACTTCTTTCCTTTATTCATTTATTCGTGTATTCATCCGGCACTTATTAACTGAGCACCTACTAAACCAGGCACACTGTGTCAAGCATTGGGAGCACAGACGTGAACAAAAGAGGTGTGGGCCTTGGACATTTATGGTCCAGTGGGAGCCCCAGATATTAAATAAACCCGCCCCTCCAAAAGAAGGAACTCAAGTTGTAATCAGTGCTGGGAAAGGGAAAGGGCAGTACATCCAGGAGGCCGGAAAGCCTATATCAGCAGAACTGTCTAAGCTAAAGGTTCAGGAACATCTCTGAAGACGGACCATTAAGCTGAGGTCTTTTTTTTTTTTTTTAAGTTTATTTATTTTGATAGAGGACAGCACGCATGTGGGAGCTAGGGAGGGGCAGAGAGAGAGAGAGAAAATCCCAAGCAGGCTCCCCACTGTCAGCACGGAGCCCAATGCAGGGCTCGAACCCACAAACCATGAGATCATGACCTGAGCCAAAGTCAAGAGTCGGATGCCACCCAGGCACCCCTAAGCTGCGGTCTTAAGGATAAACAGAAATTTCTCCGGTGAAGGGTAGGAGAAGCATTCGGGGAAGGCACACCGCACATGCAAAGGTTGTGAGATGAGGAGGGATTTATCCTGTCTGAGGAACTGAAAGCAGGCAAGTGAGCTGGAGAGTAGGTATTGGGAGCAGAGTGGCCCTGGGCCCAGCTCCCACATGGGCATGCAGAGCCTGTTAAGGATTTGTTTACTTCAGTCATTGAAGGGAGTTAAGAATGTGGTCATATAATCAGATGTCCACTCTTTAAAAATCACACTGCCTGCAGCCTGAGAATAGCTTGATAGGGGCCAGTGTGCACTTCAGAAGGAGGCAAGAGCTAGCGGAATCTGGATTAGGGTGGAGATGGGCAGAAATAGGTTGGAAGTATTTAGAACTCTGGGTGTTCTTGTTTGTCAGTGTCCTGCTTAAAATGCAATGCGTAGGGGCGCCCGGGTGGCTCAGTCGGTTAAGCGTCTGACTGCGGCTCAGATCATGATCTCGCGGTTCGGGAGTTCGACCCCTGTGTCAGGCTCTGTGCTGACAGCTTGGAGCCTGGACCTGCTTTGGATTCTGTGTCTCCCTCTCTCTCTGACCCTCCCCTACTCGCGCTCTGTCTCTGTCTCTCT